CATTGATCTCTGTTTTGAGCCTTGCTTGTCCAGTGCGTATAGACCTTAAGAGAAATTTGATAATAAACATTGTTGCGATAGGCCAGGGAATCGGTGCGCAGAGGAGGGCGACCCGGCGGTCGCTTCTTGTCACGCGGGTACCTTCGTATGGTGGTGGAACTCCATCTTCAGTCATTTCTCCTCAACACGTGACCGGCAAATCGATGCTTTGCTTCGTCAACATGGAGTACAACGTGTTTTTTCTTCGATTAGGCTCTGACGCCTGAGTTGTGAAATTTTAATTCTCGTTGCGGCTTAACGTCAGGCCTACTAAGCGGCGCTCAATTGATGCCTGGGTAACTTTCAACCGTCTTTCGTGCGCTTTCGTTAGGGCCCAAGTTTCTCCCGCGTAACTGAGGGCAGGCAGCACTGTTGTATTGAAGAGGTCTGCACGGAGTTTGCGACTCTTTGTATCTTCCACGACGCTCTTTATAGAGTTGAATGCTGCCCATCCAGCCTTGCAGCGCCTCGCTAGCTCTCCACTCAAATCATTCCTCATGTTCAGCAGGCTGCCGAGGTATACGTATTCCTCAACGTCCTCTATTGGGTTCTCTTTCAGCATTACGGTTGCACCTCCAGTGAATTGATTTCGCATGACTTTCGTTTTTGAGGTGTTCATCGTTAAACCGTATGAACTTCCTTGCTGGTCCAGACGATTTAGCATCTCCGAAGCTTCCCGTGGCGTGCTGGTAATCAGGACAACGTCATCAGCGAATCGTAGATGGTTCAGAAGAGTACCGTCCATGTTCCATCAAAAGTTGCTCCAATCGCGCGGCGAATGGATTCTAAACACAACCGGTATAGCATTCTCGGAGCACGTCTATGAAGACCTTCTCAATTCCTTGCTCTTCTCATGCTTCCCAGACTTTCTTAGGTTCCACTGAGTCAAACGCTTTCTTGTAGTCGACGAACGTGAGTACAAGAGGTATGCGGTGCTCTCGAGCTACTTCTGTGAGACGCCGGCAAGTTGCAATGGTCCAACGTGCTGAACTTCCGACGAAATCCTGCCTGTTCGACCGGCTGTGCTTCTTCTAGCGTCCTTCGCATGCGCGCCAAAATACAACGTGTGAACACTTTGTAGAGTATTGGAAGGAGCGTGATTGGCCGGTAAATCGTTAGTTCTTCCTTGTCGCCTTTCTTAAAGACACATGGTACGCCATTGAGGGTGTATGAGACTATCAGCCCCCCAGCTGTCGATGTGTCGTAGTCCCCCGCCAAACATGAATAGGAATGGAGGTACAGATCCGTGAAAAAAGTAATTCCTGCCCATATCGCCTTAACACTTTTTTGGCGGCGCAAGATTCCGTCCTTCATAACATCCGTCGTAAGCGCGCGTGTCGCGTGCGGCTCCTTGGGCACTTTGCTCCTTTAATTGCGCTCTCAAATACATGTAAACACAAATTCTGATGCGGATAACATTGGAGATGGCTACAAAATAAGAACAGAAAGATGATTGAACGAGGACGCAGAAAGCTGCAAGAGCAACTGGCTGCGTCTGCAGTATCCATCAAGGCCCGCGCATTCCCAGCAAAACATGAGAATAAAACAACCCAAGCGTCCCACCGCCTTTGTTCTAAGTTATTTCTATGACTTTGGCGGGCCAGATTCGCCGCCGGAATGGCGTAGAATTTACGGGGCGATTTAACTATTTTGGGCTTTCCTTGATTTTTCCAATTTTTTGTTTATTTACATTTGCATCGGTTGTGCTTCATTTCTCAGCCTGTGTCATCTTCATCTCCTTGTACATGGATTTTGAAGCAATGGAGCAACACCTCAAATTTTATTCGCATCAGGAAATTGTGTTTTGCTTGTATCAAACTAACGAGTATGCCGATTTTTGTTTCATGTTTTGTGGAAATACGCGGCCTCCGAGGGATGTTGCAGAAGTGGCACAGTTGCTATTAAGTTCTGACCCTCGTCATCATCTTCTTTTCTTACTTTGCAGCACCTCCAGTATTTGAAAGCGGGAATCCATTTCTCCCCTTCTAAATAAAGAAACTGAGGGGGAAAAAGTATGAAAGGCGCGCTTGAAGAGTAAAAATTTTGAAAAAAAAACTAAACTCATGATTACACGGAGAATGACTTGTGTCAGAGCACGCTATACCTTGCGACCGCTCACTTCAAAGGGTCGTATTTGACTCAGAAACATTCGTTTGATTGTCGATTCTCCCTTTCTTACCTCGTAGGCAGTGCATTAATCTGACAACTTCTGAAAACAGAAGAGACCCTTGCGTATTACTCTCCACCACACCGCTCGATAGATCTTGGGGAAAAGGGCGAATATTAGAAAATTTTTCCTAACGCCAAGGCTTGACCTGAATGAATGCCGTTCCATCACAGTTCTGATGCTGGTCGATGCAAAAACAAAATTCTCGACACAGACGGCAGAACGCTGTGGCGATACGAATCGTGTTATGCTAATGCGCCATTCAACGAACATTATAACGCTATTCTGACTCGGCTCGATATCCTCTCATTTCTCATACATTCACACTCCCACATTAACATGTTCGAAGCGAAATTTGCGCAACGGCGCTAGAAATGGAATGGGAACGTCCTCCAAAGCCGACAAACTTTTGTTTTATGAGACGCGAAAAAATTCGAAGAAGCCTGTTGAACCGCCAGCCTGCTAAAATATTTTTCAGTACACTGAAAAAGAAATTCGATAGGAATACGGAAGAATAAGAATGGTACTGAACAAGATGGAAGTACATGGGTGTATTAAAGCGCCACAGATACTTGGTTCTCAAAAAAACACAACCAAACATCGAGAATCACTGAAATAAGAAATGAGTACAGAAATAATGCCTAGATTAAAGTGAAAAAATCCTGACTCATACGTAGTTGAGCGGGGACCACTGCTGGCCCAACCACGTATGATACTGAGCCGCGCAGCCCTCGACGTCTGTGCTCTCCCATGCCTAATCACTGGGGAAAGGAATGAATGCCGAAGCGACCCGCATGACCCCCAAGTTAGTGCGGAGATCATGAAAACAGAACAAAAAATTTATCCAATAAGAAGTTTCCTTATATAGAAAAACTATAGAAAAACTGCCCTCATTACACTGTTAAGGAGCCAAGCATTCGCAAAGGGTGCTTTCCAGACATTCGCAAGCCCTCTAACTTGAATTAAGAATAGTTCAACAAGAATAGGGAATTCTGAAGTTCATTTCCGGAGAAAGAAATTCTGAAGACCCTAAGATCTCCTGAGGCTTCGTGCATAGCACCCTTTCAATCCTAAAATTCTGATATCATTTCATTCAGATTATATGGCGGATACACAAATCCATTTCACGTAAATTGCCTCAACAATAATAAATAAAAATTGCACTCAAGAGACTTGGAGGTCCGACGTTACTTCCTCTCTTTACCGCGGCTGCTCCGTAATATGAAGTGCTCATTTAATGTGTGAAAGAATGCGTATGGTAAGCATGTGGCAAGAAAAAAGTTCTAAGGCACTTTTAGCTCCTGGAAATTGGGCTTCAGGAAATGCGCCCTATGTTCGATTCAAGGTAAAGTAACGTGCAAATCTCAGTTCTCGAGGGCACAATGGAAGCTGCTAACCCATCGGAGATGAGAATCATTCATTAATCACGAACACGATCTAAGAAACAACATCATTCCAGTTCCTCTGGTACAACTGCCTCTCTCCAAAAGCCGAATGAAGATTCAAAGGTACAAATCACTCAAGAAAACATTTTGAAAAGGAAAATCAAATTCTGAATAAGTTCCGCATCAAGTTTCCACAGAGTTCCATGACATAAGCAATATTTCTTGCGATTATTATAGAACATTATGTCCGTCGAAGCTTTATCGAGCTTTAACTGCTCATACAAAAAGTGCTATCAATAGCAAGAAATCCCATTTCCAGACAAAAGACAGCGCAAACGCATCAAAACTCAGTTCCACTTTTCTCATGAAAAAAGGAATACTTGAAGAAACTTCCCGTAAAGACCTCACCCACCTCTTCTCGCGTCAGCTAGTAGCTCTTCAAAAGCCGCTTTTAGGACGTATATGCGCAATGCAAACACTACGGCGATATTAACGAGGCGGTATCGATTCTGCACCCTCTACGACCACGTCCACGAACGATCCGCGATGCGTTCGTTAACGTGCTTTTGTGATCAATAAAGATAAAGGTTAGCAGTTTTTGAAAGATCTATTGAAGGAAAAGAGAGTTGCTGAAACGAACTGCGACGCACTGGGGTATTTCTGCTCGGTAGGAAAAACCTCCAAACATGGGCAGGTTTTTTTTCGTGACCGGGTAAATATCAAAAGAAACCGTTCAATCTCGGGTTTCTTCAAGAAGAAACTCGAGACTGAACTCAAGCGCAATTTTTCTGGGGACGGAGCTTTTAAATGCTCCTTGTATACAAATTGAACATTTTTGTAAAGGGTGACAGGGATTTCTGCATAAGCCGAATGATAAGGAGCTCGGATGGGCGAAACAATTTCATCGTATAAAGACCGTTTGACGTCATGGTACTCCATTTCTGAAATGGTTCTCATTTTCCAAATCTGTTCAATCACATTACAAGTATGTCCTCTTGTACATAGAATCAGATAGAATCTAAACAAATAGAACCTACAATGTCTAGCGAGCTGCACAGCATTCGCTCCGCAAGTCTCGAACGAGCCGTAACTACGTACATATACCAAGCCTACCGTATGTGCCCCTTTGAATGATGCCGTGTGGACGCGCTCAGTTTCGGCTGCGAACTCATTTATGAAGTTCGCAGCCGAAACTGAGCTAAATCAGTAAATCCGCCAAAAATTTGTACACAGGACTTATTCAACATCCTGATTACGAATATGACATTCGTTTTTGGCGCTGGCGCTAATGTAGGACACTACGATTATCTGCGCTCTGCTAAGGCTGAGCCCAGAAGATAATCGTGACCTCCATGGAGCGCCAAAAATGAATATTCCTTTTGTGGGCAGGACGTTTAAAAATTTCTGCGTACAAGTTTTCAGCGAATAGTGATCTAGGCACTTCATCAATGAGCTCGCAGCCAAACTGAGCGAGTCCAAACGGCATCAGCCGCCCCATTTTTCGAAATAGTTTCAGGCATGGCTTGCTCCTGAGGGGATGATGTACTTTCAAAGAGCGGACCCAGGTCCTCTACTAAGGACTAAGATACGAGAGAGAGTCCAAGAGCCGATATTAGCTTCTCAGTAAAGAATGACCCAGTAAGCCAATCAATACGAGTGTTTTGCACAGCATATTGTTAACACCGCCGTCAGCTGCATAAGTAGCTTAATAATGTCTTGCTTGGAACCTCGGGAATCGAATTACAGCACATCTTTGGGCGGCAAGGTAATATGACCTTACAAAACAACGGCAATCACAGCGTCGGCGTATGCTAATAAAGAATATCTGCGCTCTTTTAATATCTCAAATGACATTTTAATTAGTAACAGAGGTCGTAAACTCCAAAAAAGTGGAGGTACGTCATTCCAAAGCATCGTAGATCCGTCTCCTCCTTCAAAGATGGGAGAAAGGTAGTTGGGAGAGTGTTATGTCCGCGCCCTCTCACCAAGATGGTGTTTGAAGTGATTTTGAAGTGGTTCTCAGCTTGAATGTGGGGTACATACTCATTCTAAGGCTTCAAAGACGTAACGGATAACAGACGCAAGATATGACATGGTATGGTCGGCGGCGTCTTCCTTTACCCCGTTGCCGTTATCTCATGGAAAACACTTCTCTTTCCGAAGTGTTCTACGAAGCTCGAGAGGGCTTGGAAT